AACAGGGAACACGAGAACTCAGAGAGAGGAACAAGCATCAGCCACACGTTAATCAGTACCTAAAGAGGAGTTTGGTCCGATTTTAGAATAAACGGCAGAGACACATGATCCAATTAAATTCCAATTATGTAAGTAGTAGGAAAGAGTATTTACACAGGCACTGATTACAGCTATTAGAGTCTAAAGTCGCCGGACGGAGACGCTCCGCTTCCTCCCCGCCGCCGGGCTCATTTCATTTTTAACCTCCCCCCTTCACAGCCCTCCCTACAGACAATAGGAGACACCGGCCCGAGAGCCCCGTCTCCAAACCCATGCCCCCTCCGGCGGACGCCAGCCTGGAGGAGCCGCCAGTCTCCCCGGAGCGATGTCCCCGAGTCCCACCTCGGGGCCGGGAGAAAGAGCCCCGCTCCCACTCACACCCCACCGCCCGCGCCCCCAGCCCTGCAGCGGCGGGAGAGGCAGCGAAACCCCCCCCCCCCCCTTACCTCCGAACAGGTGCGGCGAGAGGTGCGCGGGCAGCGAGCCGATCACCAGCCGGGGCCCGCCGGAGGAGCTGCCGGAGGAGCCGCCGCCACCGCCGCCGCCCCCCGCGGGCCGCTCCCGGCCGCCCTCCTCCGGGGTGCTGCTGACCGAGTCCTGCGAGCCGTAGGGGCCGACGCTGTGGAGGATGTTGAGGGCGGACTGCGCCGCCCGGGCGCCGGAGGCGGTGGCCCCCCCCAGGGACCTGCTCCGGGGTGCCGACCCCGCGGCACCCCCGGCCGCCGCCGCCGCTCCTCCGGCCGCCGCCGCGCCGCCGGGAGCGGCGTGAGGCGCCGCCGCCAGGTGCGCGTACCGCCCGCCGGCGCCCGCCGAGCGCCCGCCGGTCCCGTTAGCGCCGCCGCCGCCGCTGCTGCTGCTACTGGAGGAAGGCAGATCCCCGCCCGAGTACGCCCGGGTGCGGCCATTGGCGGCGGTGGGGCTGCTCTGCTTCGCGCCCATGGTCCCGCCGCCGCCTGGCGCTGCCCGGTGCCCTTCGCCGCCGCCGCCTTCCCCGCGGCGCCCGGGGGTGGTGGCAGTCCTGCCCCGGCAGGGGCGATCCGAGGCGCGGGTCGCGCCGGGGAGGGGGGAGAGGGAGCGCCGGGGGAGGGGGACGGGTCGCTCGGTGGGTCGGTGTGGAGAAGGGAGAGCCGCCCGCCGGGATCCGGCTCAGCTGGCGGCCCCGGCGCGGCCGCTGCTGGCGGGTCTGGGGCGCCACCATGAGCTGCTCGGGACGGTGCTGGCTCCCGCCGCGCGGCCGCTCGGCCCCGCCGTCGCTGCTGCTTCTGCTGCTGCTGTGCCCGCCGCCGCCGCGACCGCCGCCGCCATCCTCCTGCGCCGCCGCTGAGCCCTGTGCGGGGCACCGGCGGCAGCAGCGCCGCCGAGGCCGCTCGCTCGCCCGCGGCGCGCCGTGCCCGTGCGAGGGAGGCGGGAGGGGGCGGTCGCCCGGCGCAGCCGCTCCTCTACCGTGTCGCCATGCTGGGGGCGGCACCAGCGGGCGGGGTGCGGAGCGGTTACGGCGGGCGGGGGCCGCCGCCTCTCCTTCCCTCCCCGCGCCCGGCGGGAGACCGGCCCCCGGCGGCGGCGCAACGGGCCAGGCCTGCCGCCTCGCCCCGCCTCCCTCCCCGCTCCTCCCGCAAGGTGCGGGGCAGCGCCAGGTGAGGCCCCGCCTGGGCTCTGGCCGTGCTCCCCACGGGGGGGAAGGAGAGTCTCCCTCGGTGGGAACCTGCTGGGGACACAGACACACACACAGACACACACACGCACAGAGACACACACACGAGGGGGGCTCGCTGTCCGCCTGCCCGTAGGGGCTGCCCCGCCGGGAAAGAAGTGAATGGGCAAGAGCGCGGCGCTCGGGGGCGGGAGGCGGCCCCTGCGTCCGCTCTCCCCCGAAGCCCCGGCAGGTGAAGGAGGAGCGGGGCGGTGCAGCGGGAGGCGGCTCGGCGGGGCGGGCAAGGCCGTGGTGCCGGCTGCCCTCCTGCCGCCCGGTTCTCTGCCTCTGCGGCTCCAGCAGACTCCCGGATGCCCGACCTCGGCGGCCGGGGCGGCTCCTGGCTGCTCTCCTGGGCCGCTCCCCGAGCCCGGGGCGGGCGGTGTAAGGGCCGCTTGGCCCCGTCGGCAGCTCTCCCGGGTGGCTTCCAGCCTGGGCGGCTTGCTGCCAGTCTCGGTTCTCCTGGAATGAGGACATGCCAGGAGACATATGGGGCGTATGGTGTAGCTGGACAAGAAGGATGAAAATCTCATGTCTGGTTCACAGGCGATACAGGAAAATCCCGTAGACCTCAGCCTCTCACTCAGAGAACTACTGTTTTTGCACAAAGATTGAATAAACTGAAAATTTTGGCCCAGTGAATAATACCCATGTGGATAACAGGCTTGGTTTGCTCCTGACAAAATGATCAGAGACATAAAATTATTTTGTTCTTTAAAGATATGTGATGTTGAATGTCGTGTACATTGAATTTATAGACATACGATTCCTACAATCGGTCATCCAAGGAAAACTGTTTTTTTGGATTATCGTCTGTTCTAAAATAAGGTATGTCACCATGAAGCACTGCTACACACCAACTCAGGTCTTTCCATCATACTGTCTTGGTAGGGACCGCAACTGCATTCTTGCCTCTGTCAGAATGGCATAATACCCAAACTATTTTACAATAAATATAATAAAACTGATCATAACCTTAATTAATACACAAAGTATTACGTAGCATTTTAAATACATGTTGTTATTATTATATGTATTATGTAAATATAATGTACAAATCTAACATTTACATGTACATGTTCCATTTACATGGAACATTACATGTACACTTATGGCATATTTGATGGTCCTCCTCAGATACAAATAGGCACAAAGGCCTCCCTTTCCCCCTCCTTTCACCATCACTGTTACAACTGCATGTGGTTGTGTCAGTGCAGCTCACAGCTGAATTTGCAAGAAGAGGTACCATAGTTGGGGGTGGCACAGGAGGTTTTTAGCCCCAGCTCTTCATTCCAACACCGCTTTTCTGGATAGTTGAGACACTGTGAATAATCTGAACCCCATTTAGAGGATGCTGCTGTAAACTATTGCCCGTTTCAGTAAGAGGCAGTGATTCCACAGCTGTCTCATGAACAGCTTGGTCCTTTGTGTGCTGGGTGCTGGGCAGACAGCTGGGGTCGATAATCTGCCGTCCCAAGCTATGTCATCCCCACTTGTGAATTATAAGCTGCAGTCTCTGCTAGCAGTGGTAGATACTCCAAAATAGATCAATCATGAGCACTTTCTAGTTAAGTTTCCTACAAAAAAAAAAAAAAAAAAATCAGTGTGAATACAGTCTGCTCTACCGCTGATTACTTTTTAAATCCTTGTCCAGCTTCAGCCAAATCTCTCAGAGACATTGACAGTAAAGAAAATAAACGGTTATGTAGAAGATAGAAATCCTAATGTTCCCACAGAAAGGAAAGCTACCATAGGAATTCCTATCTTGCTAGATTCCAAGAATCTGCTCAGGCAAGGGATGTTGCAAACATGACTCATAATTTCTGCTGCTCACAGAATGCCTGTGGCATGTTGAGCCCCATTGAAGCAGGTTTAGAGGGAGCATGCTCAGAGTTTTATGGAGTTTTTAAAATTTCCACTACTGAGTGCTAGTAGAGCTGGTCAGCTGCTAGAATAAACAGCATTTTGAAAGTAGTACATTGCTACACAGTACCACAGTATACTTTCTGGTTTGTTTTTTTTACAGTGGATCTAAGAGTTGAGCAGATATTAAATACAGATTGTATTTGACTGTGAATAACCTTTTATTCAATTTAGGATTAAATTATACAATCTATAGGGGGGAAAAAAAGCCCTTAAGACATCCAACCAGTTACTAACCATCAGAAAATTACCTCTAAAAGCATAGGATATGTCACAGAAAAGAAGTCACAACAACAGTCCAGCCTGTGTTCCCTTCTCAGAGAGCACAACTGTTTCCTGTGCAATGTGATTTTCTTTTTTTATTTTTTTTTAAGGCTTCAGTTTTTGTTTTGTATCTAGGACATATTTGCAGCGCACTATCAAGTGTGAGTCTAAACAAGACACATACCTCAAAGAACACCTAGATCTTCAGAAAAGCAACGTGTCATGCTCTGAGACAGCTTTCTCCCCTCTATTCTTCCTGTATCTCTTAAAAATAGTTGAATAGAGATTTTCTACGTATCGAAATTTGCTTCATATCAGCAACAGTACAGTTAGGTTTTCAAGCTAACATTTCTTCTAACAAATGTCTACTAGTCTTTTAGTCTTGTAGAGGCAAGTACCTGGCACTGTAACCTCCACCCATTTGTTCATTAACACACTCCAGAAGTAGTTTGCATAAAAAATTCCTAAGTTAAAAAAAAAAAAGTAAGTAGTGATGAGAAGAAACAGTACAGAGAGAAAGTAGAATATCTTGCTTCTGACCATATTTCCACAGATTTCAAGGGCTCAGTGGAAAGCAGATAATTATATAAAAATTGACTTTGATAGGCCTATATAGGTGAATGCTGCTATTATTCCTGTGGAAACGTATCTAGGGAATCTTATTCATACTTAAATAAGCACTAGTTGTTCCTTGTCCAGGATAGTGGGAAAAAACTGGTTTAGACAGGCAAATATACTTGCTGTTCTTTTTTACAAGCTGCATTCCTCCGCTTCAGTTCTGGTTACACCACCTCGTCTATCAGCAACTGAAAATAATGAACTTGTTTCTTGACCAGTTTCCTTGAACATACCAAGTGGCAGGTGTGCCCTAGGCATACAAAATTAGCTGTAAATTCATAATATTGCACATTCTGGAAAATGTGTGCTGATAAATGGAACAGGGGTCTGCATTTTACTCAACAGTGAGCTATGCAGACAGATCAGCCTTCCTCTCCCTCCCTGCCCCCTTCTTTGGTGGCTTTTAAAGGGACACTGAAACAAGGATTTAAGCAAGGTTTCATTTCTGACAGAAACATCTGACCCTGAACTAATAAAGCCAACCAGAGTTTCATTCTGTTCAGAACTGATCAAACACTCTTTTCTAAAGGAGAAAGATTTAAAAAGTAGCAGCACAGACTCTTAACATACAGCTTAATTTTTTAACAGCTAGTGTGGGCTCCTAAAAGGTTTTGGCCAACTAGATTTTCTGAGCAGATACCAAACTAGAAGTTCACAATGTGATTGGAAGAGATCAATGCAGTTTTTATGTTACTGTGTATTTCATCTGTTTAAAATAAATAGTGCTGCACACCACTGCTGCACAGATACTGAAAATAGAGACTTCTGATGTGTTCTGTTGCTCATAGAGAAAACAAAACAGAACATTTTGTCCCTCTGAAATAAGATGTGTAAAAGACACATGCCTTCCATCTGTAACTAGAGTAAGCCATCCAGCAGGCAAGAGTTTTATACATTCACATCTGTATCCTAAGGGAAATAGGTCCCATATTATCCCCCTTGGTGTGACTACAAACTGTACATAAACTTGCTGTAGGAATCTCCTTAGATATATTTTGGTGTCAGTGAATCTCCATCTGGTGACTGGTATTTCAATGCAGAAGACCTTATTATCCAGTATCTTCGATTTTTATTTGCATTGAATAACTTTTTATATGTATTGACTTTAATCCTATGGAGATTTATGCATATGCTTACACTGATGTATGAAAAACCATTCTGCAACATGTTGTGATCAGTCTTCATGGAATAAAAAAAATAAGCAGCTTTCAAGCTCAAGGTTTGAATCATAAAATTATTCTGGAAGTGTGTGGCGATGCTTACAAGGATAAGGAAGTTTATCCTTCCTGTATAAAAATTCTGTTTAAAGCCATCTACCTTTTGTTTGAAGTTTATGCTTTTTTGAAGTTTCTATCACACTGCAGACAGTATCCTTGAATTTTTACACTAGAGTTGCCTGTAGAGAAAACTGATGTTCACAGAAAAGATAACCTAATCTTAAAAATAAGCTGACATTTTGACTGGCCTTATTGATTGACCATTTGGTACAGGAAGAAATACTTGGAAATAACATACTTCAAGAAATAGCAGCTTCTACTGTGCACTTCATTGCCGCATGCTACAAAGTAGTACTTTAAGAAATATACTTCATTCCAAGATTTTTTGTAGGAAAGGGCATTCACCATAATAATTTCTAAGCTGTTCTACATTCACAGTTGTATTGCCATTTTAGTACATGACCAGGCCAGTACTATTACCAATTCTCCCATAAAC